AGGGGGGAGGCCCAGAAAACTTCTCAGAAGGCCGTGGACCTCCGAGCTTTCTGAGAACGCCTTCTCCTTTTCACTTCTCCCCCTCGCTCGCCGCCGATCCACAGCTCGGGTGGGGCTACAGTCGGAACCGATGGTACGGATGGGTAACCAAGGGCGCCCTAGAGGGCGCGAAATTGTTCGCGTTTCGCGCTTCGCGGTTCGGCTCCGATTCGTCCTCGTCCTCCTCTTCTCCCCTGAGGGGCGGCGCGAGAACGCAAAATAATTCACGTTTCGCGCAGCCGGAAACGCAAAGTTAGTCGCTTTTGGTAACCTTTCCAAGGGTACCCTCGCATACGTGCCTTTTTGGTCCGTCCTTGGTTACTGTCGATTGCCAGGCCCGTTCGAAAAAAACTTTGACATCGGCGTCCAAGGGGCTTGCATCCTCATCGCGCATCCTTGCCATCAGATTACTGAAAAACAATGCGGTTATTGTGCATATTCCAGCCGTTCCTCCCCTGTCGCCGCTTTCTTTTTTTGTTGTTCTCTCTCTCTCTCTCTCTATTTCTCTCTGTCTCTCTTTCTCGTTCTCTCTCTCTCTCTCTGCACCGCTGCCCTGCCGCCGCTTTCCAGCTCGCGGGGCCCTTGAGCGCCGCACCGTGGCGCGCTGTGAGCGCCGCCCCTGGGCGCGCGCGATAGGAGAGAACGCAGCCTCTTTCGCTGCGGGTCCTGCACCCGCGCGCACGACTACAGCCTTACGTTTTGTGAGTCGCCACAATGATGTCCACAGACCGTGTGCTCGACATGCATATCCCACTCGCTTTGCGTAACCCCACCAGGCCATCCAGAAACCATGCCCAGGCGATTTGTTCTGATGAGTGATGTTGATGAACATGCATTTGAATAGGGGCCAGAAAAGCCATTGTATCCCAATGGGGGGGAGGATGGAGGAGGAATCGGAGGAGGAAAGGAACGGGGAAACAGAAGGAGGGACTATGAAACGGGGCGAGCAGAACGGCCAGAGGCCTCTCGAGGCCTCTCGGAGTCTCTGCGGGTGCCCCGTGGATGTTCGTTTGGGAATCTTTGGGGCGTCTCGAGGGCCCCTTTGCTATCCTGGGGGCCTCGTGGGACGTCTTGGGTGCCTCAGAGGAGCATGTCGGGGCCGTCGGGGAATATCTTCTGAGCCTCCTGGGCGCCTGTTGCAGGGTTCGGGGCGTCCGGGCGCCTCTCGGGGTAGTTTCGGGGGAACCATTCGGCGGCCATCGTGGCCGAGATCGATCAAAAAGGGAGGGGTCAATCAGGGCCTTCCCTCTCGCAGGATGCCCAAATGGGCCAACAACCTTGGCAAAACGTGCGTTAGCCAGTGAAGGCCCAAAACGGTGACGTTCTAGCAACGTACATGGTGCAATATTTGTAGAGCAACCTATGTGGAGCAATGCGCCCATGCTCGCAGTCAGTTGTCAACTCCACTGCTCGCGCAATCACTCCGCTTGCCCACCCGAAACTTGGCTTGCAAACCCCATGCGGCGGCGATTGCGATGAGTGTTTGGCGTTTTGTTGGTGCATTTCTACGGTCGACGCGATGATGAGCGCAGCAGTAATTGTGACGACGGTGGCGATGACGACGTCACGGCCAATGACGACGCCGATGTTGATCACGCCCGCCACTAACGATGACGATGTCCTCGCGTCGGTGATGAACGTTTTGGAAGGAGCTCGACATGCGCGCGCGGCCGACGCGCGCGAGTGGCCCGCGAGGTATTATTTGGCACGGATCGCGCCCCCCCCCCCAGCACGCGTGCAAGGGCGTCCGGATGAACTTGACATGCAGCGCGAGAGGCCCGTTTGGCAGAATTTGATGACAGCGTTGAACAACGGATGTTTCCCCGAAGAGTTCGCAAAAGCGTGCAATTTGTTGTTCGACCAGTGCCGTTGCGAAACAATGTTTTCTATGCGCGTTTTGGACCGCAGTTTCTGATATCCCTCCGACGTCTCGAGTTGCCAAAATAATGTGGCATGCGCGCGGGGCGACGCGCGCGGTACACTTCGCCCTTTTTGTTGTAATAGATTTGTTCGACAGCGCGCGCGCAAAAGTGGTCGAACGATTTCGACGCGCGCGCGCGGAGGCCCGTTTGGTAGCACGTTATGAACATTGTGGGAAAACGATGGTTGGATTATTAATGTGCATGAGCGCAGGCGCCGTCTTTTGCGTTAAACGTCTGTTTTGCCAAACCATGTGTTTGATATGTTGAAGGTCATATATAAGGTGTGTACGCGTGTACGATTATATGTTGTACATCGTATATACACACACTCATAGACCCAACATGCGCGCGCGACGACGCGCGCGTGCACACTTCGTCCCATGTGTTGTAAACATGTTTGAACACATATGATTTTTGATACACGAGTGCGCGCATGTTTCCCGGCTGGGGATGAGGGGGCGGGGCGGATACCTGTTTGCTTGGGACAGTGTGAGCTCATATTTGGGATGTGCGATGTTGCAGAATCATATGCACAGGGCAATACGAAAAAAAAAGGGGGCCGTTTATACGGGGGGGGGTCATCGTATATTCTTGGGGAAGAAGAATTCACATTTCTTCGCAGTGAGCTGACAATTCCACGGCT